AAGATTGGCATATGATGCACTGCAATGCTAGTTTTGTCAATGTCCTGTCCATTGTGGGGGGCGCTACCACTCAGGAACTTCACACAGTTGCTGGTATTGTTCAGGGGATTCTCTTTGAGAAGGCTGCCGTCCTGGGATTTGAGGCCAACATGGGACACCAGCAACAATAAGAACAAGCACAGGAACAATAACACTGACAATGACAATGCCAATCGCCATACCAGTAACACCAACGCTAACAAACACAATACCACTAACAACAACACCAACAACAACAACAACAGCAACAACAGCAACAACAACAACAACAACAACAACAACAACAACAACAACAACAACAACAACAACAACAACAACAACAACAACAACACCAACACCAACACCAACACCAACAACAACAACAACAACAACAACAACAACACAAGCAACACCACCACAACACCACCAACACCAACACCCACAACAGCAACAGCAACAGCAACAACAACCTCATGTTAATCCTGCTCGCTCTAATCTGCTCGCGTGCTATTCAACACGTCACTCCAAACCCTCAGAACTCGCCCTCTTCGTCTTCGATCGTACCCCCTTGGGTGTACATCTTAGTTGCCTGCCACGTACATTTAGCGCAGCCCCTAAAACAGGGGAAGAGAAGACGGATGGAAGGGGGAGGGAGAAGGATGAAGCACGAGAGAAATTAGCAGGAGGGGGGCTAGAAGCCAGAAAACACGTGGCAGAACCAGACCGGGCGGATCGGGCGGGCAGACCCTAGCGGGCGGGTCGGAAGGCGGGCCCAGGCGGCCAGGTCGAGCAGGCGGGTTGCTGAAGCATGAGTCCTGCATGAATCGCGAGGAAGTCTCGAGCGATATCGCGATTCTCAAATCAATCGTGAGAAAGGCCAAAGCGAGAGCGTGATTCTGGAGTGTCGAGGACGCGGCGTTTGAATACATTGCGAGGAAGTCCTACGCGAGAGCGCGATTCCTGCATATCTTGAGGCAGTCCTGCGCGAGAGCGTGATTTTGGAATCACCTGTGAGGAAGTATCAGGCGGGAGCCGTTGTTGTTGTAGCCTGGGGGGCAACAACACAATTTGAGCAGGACGATTTTTACCGGATAAAAAAAAAAGCAGGGTGCGAGCCCCGATGGGGAGCACTTCAATTGAAAAATACAATGTGCACCGGTGGTGAGGATCAACATTACTTATTTCAAACATGAAAATTCAACAGCACCGCCACCGACAGCAACAACAGCAGCAGCAACAACAACTTTTCTTTTGGGGTTTGTCCGGGGGACTTCTAAGCATGCCCGCATCGACATGTTGACTCGGGAGGAGTGCAAGATCAGATCCGACCTGGGAGGTGTGGCCGCCCCAGCGCTCAGGAGCCATAGAGTGCTTAGTAGCACGGTCATGAACTCTGGAGCCATGTGTGCCGAGGTTGCCTATCGTGCCTCCACCGCCGCGCCTGTGTACATGCATAATGCCAGACTCGCTCGCAACACTTTTCAGCCGAGAGATTTCATTGTACAAGTTGGGGAGACATGTCTAGTGTCCAAACTTCTTTTCAACGCTGCCACTTGGGGTAGGATTTTTTTTTTTTTTTTTTTTGTTTTTTGTTTTTCCTTCAGAGGATGGACAGATATGATGCTAAGGTTTATCGTGCGTGTCTCGGGCTGCCGCTTAGCACTTTCCAGGAGGGCACTTTCTGAGTGAAGATGTTCCCCACCAGGTCCACAGGGGAGGGGGGGGGCTTGGAGCCACGCTGAAGGTTACCAAGTTGAAATATCTTGTGCGTTTGCCCAGAGCCGCTCTGCCCATGCTTCGCCGTGTCCTGGACTCCTAGCTTGAAAGGAACCAGGCTTGGACGGAGATGCTTAAAGACGATTGTGAATTGCTCAACGAATTCGCCTTCCAAAGCGAGGTTCCGGGGACTGGGTCTTTCAGGGATCGGGTGAGAATCGCCAGAAACGGTCCCGAAGATTGTGTTCGGCAAAATCTCGGCGACCCTGGGTAGGTGTAAGTTGTATCGCGAAGAAGGGTATTTGACCAAGAAGCGTGACGCTTATCTCTGCGAACTTATTTCGGGGACCGAACTGGAGTGTGCCGACGATGGGCCAAGGCCTGCTTAAGAGATGTTCTTTTGCTACGAGTGCGATTTTCATACTAGAGCCCAGCGGACCATTGCTGTGCATGTGGGCAGGACTCACAAGAGAGAGGATCGTGTATTCTCGTGGGTGGTAAAGACCTGTCGCCAGGTGTGTCTCACGAAGCATCACACCGCTGCGGCGAAACATGTGGCTCGGACACCCCCCCAATTCAGGATTGCCTGGCAGCGATGGACCGCAAGGGAATCTCAGGAAGAAGTGCTTCATGGGAGAAACACGACTTTTCACTGCACCGACCTTGCAGACGTGCTGCAGCGGATTTTTGCACGGATTTCTGTAAATGCAGAACCCCGAAACGGCGAGTGACAAACGAATCGAATTTCGCGTGGATTTTTTTGGTGTTCATTCCCCGCCAACAGAAATCCGCACGAAGTTCACCTCGACATCTGGAACGAAATCCTCCAGGACACTCTGGGCACGAGTCCTGTCGCTTCCCGAACGAAATCCGCTCTGCGATGGTGGCGCCAGAGGCTTGGCTATTCAGAAGACGAGCCGTGCCGCCCATCTCCCCGACCAACTCGCTGAGTGTCCTGCCTTTCGAGTGCAGGGTCCCGGGCTGGCTCTTCCCTCCTCTGACCTGCCCCCCCCCCCCCTTGGCGGCGCAGGACCCCGCTTGCACGGAGGAGGAAAAGGAAGAGGAAGAGGAAGAGGAGGAGGAGGAGGAGGAGGAGGAGGAGGAGGAGGAGGAGGAGGAGGAGGAGGAGGAGGCGGAGAGTGGTGCCGTGGCTTCCCCCATCGATCCTGCGTGTGACGTCAAGCTTGAGGAGTTACATCTGTTCTCGGGGTAGCGTTAATCCAACCGGTATCCACCAGTGTATGTTCGGAGCGCCTTGAAGGCTCCAAGAAAAGAGGACGACCCTGTTTGCTGGGAGCTGCGGTTCCTGGTCATTCCTCATTTGCTCTCCTCGTGGGGGCGGGAAGCGCGATGGGATGCACCACCATGAGATTCTGCAAGGTGTGGGAGCGGATGGGGCGTGGTGCACGGGCAGAGCGAAGCCCTCCCCTCCCCTCCCCTCCCCTCCCCTCCCCTCCCCTGTCATCTCCTCCTCGCCAACCTGAGACATGAAAGCAGCAGGGTGCCTTTGCCCTAGCGGCTGTTGAAAACAGCGCGTCGCGCTGTTCAAACCTTGGGACCCCCCCGGGCCGCCGAAGACCCAGGCGCGAAGCGGGAAAAGGGGGCCGGCGGACCACAGGACTGAAGCGGAGCTAATCAGGACGGCTGTCAGCACCCAGGGGACCACCACCACCACCAGGAGGGGGAGGGAGGTCGTCGGCGTCGTCGCCAAGCTCTTCGAGGAGATCCCGCCGGGGAGCGGGTCTGACTGCGAGGGGAGCGGGCGAGGAGTGGGACGTGCGTGCGGCCGTGCCCCCCTTCTTTGTACCGCTCGACCTCTCTCGCCACAAAGGGGGGAGCGGGGAGACGACCGCATGCTCAGGAATTAGGACTCTGGTTGTCAGTTGCTGATCTCCCGCCCTCTGCCCTCTCTCTCTTTATTTATGCTGCCGTCTTTCTCGTCCTTTCCCCCCTCTTCAGAACAGGCAGCGAACGCACTCATGCCTGTAGTCGAGTCGAGTCGAGGAGAAGGAGGAAGAGGAACAAAAAAACAAGCCAAAGAACGCTGTACACACACCGATCCTGGCCAGGACCATCCTGGGCACAAGATCGACGCACAGGCACTCCTGGCTGGGCCAGGGAGACCCAGGAAGGCACATGCACCGATCCTGGATCCAGGATGGGCCAACCCACGATCGGTGCATGTGCATACAGTCATCGTGCTACCTACCATAAGGAACGCACAAGAAGGAACGAAGGGACTTCTCTGGCCACGGCGGGCCTAGGCCACAAGTAGGCTCCACGACATAAATCTCAAGAGCGGCCTGGAAACCCGAGCCCCATCGTCTCAGCCGCATGTGCCTAGTTTTCGTCGCCCGACCATCACCCCGTCTTTTCGAGCACCCGAGATGGAAGAGGCCACAAGACTGGGCAAACGCGTTCCACTACTCGTCAAGTAACTACCCGCAAATAGCCCGGATCCGCCGCGGGATATTTGCGATACGTTACACGGAGGTTGGACCTGTTATCTTCGGACATCTGCGAATAGGAATCTTGAGAGTAGTGGAACGCGCTCGTTGGGCAAAGACCGTCCCGGCATTTTATAGGCCTACTACGACATGTTCTTAGAACCCAGGAATGTTCGAAGGCAAGAAACAATGCTCTCATAACATAAGCCGGATACGTTGAAACAAGACGCTCTCAGCCAGAACTGGAACATTCTTGCAAACCGCACAAAGGTTCTTAGAACATTCTTTGGTGGGCCTGCAGGCGAGCCAGGACGCTTCGCCACTGCTTGAGCTCCTCGGTGAAAGACAGGCGGACCAGACCACCGGAGCGACCCCCCCTACACCTTTTTGATCCGCGGGTCGCGAGCGCACCTCTTCCGGTCGAAGCTCAGCGGGCCGCGCACAGCTTGAGTTAACAAAGAGGGAGGGGCAGAAGGAGGGGCCTCCGCTCCAGAGCGCTCCGGAGCGCTCTCAGAGTGTTCCGGAACGCTCTGGAGCGGCCGCGGCGCCCAATACGTCCTCCAAACCCTCCGACTCTCAGAGATTTCGAGCTATCCCGATCCGATTTTGTCCCGATCTTCGCGTCGTTTGATCCTCCCAGGCCCAGGCCTGGGCCCGAATACCAGACCCCCCCCCGAGGAGGAAGAGGAGGAGGAGGAGGAGGGGGAGGAGGAGGAGGAGGAGGAGGAGGAGGAGGAGGAGGAGGAGGAGGAGGGGCCTCACGTAAGGGCCAGGGGGGGCAAAGCCCCCTACACACACTTGGCGGCGAGCCCCTGCGTCCTTGACCTCCCGCACGGCGGCGAGGCCGGACTCGGCCGCGAAGGGGATGTACCCGCGCTGGCGGGGCGAGGCCCGCGCTCGTGGGGCGGGGCTCTTGCCGTCGCTCGGACGTCCCTTTCAGGGTAGTCGAAGCCAATCTGGCGCCAATCTGGCAGGCCCAATCTGGCAAACGGGGGCAATCTGGCGAGGGAGCCAACGCGAATCCAGTCTGGCGAGTAACCCAAATCATCCAGTTTGGCCGGGCCAGATTGGCCCTTGGGGCCCAATCCAATCTGACAGTCTGGCCTTCGACTACCCAGATTTCCCGTGCATTTGTCGGTTTCGTGCGTGTTTTTTTTGCTCGATGGTCCAGGAGGGTCCTCGGTGGGTCTCGCCGAGAAAACATGCACACGTCCGAGCGATGCCAAGGGTTCCCCGACATCCCTGCGCAATGAAGGGGTCGCAGCGGGTGTCTTTCCGCATCGCACCAGCATTGACTCCATGGGGCCCTCCCTGGGTCCCGCGGGGCCGTCAGGACATGTCAAGACACGACTCGGTGAAGAGCTGGTCCCTAGGATTAGGTCGGGCATGTCCCTCTAAAGGCGGATTTCGGATGACAGATTATAAATGATCAGCAAAATAATCCACAAATGCTCAAACATATTGACAAAATCGTCCCCAGACTATTTTTCTGACTATTTTTGAATATTCCTCCTGTAGAGGGACACGTCCGACTTAACCCTAGGAAGGGGCTCAGAATCTGGGGAGCCGCGGCGCGAAAAAACCATGAAGTCGGATATCGGTCAGCGTGCTGCCGCCCCAAGCTGCCTACCACTCCCCCCGCTTCAGCATCGCATGCCCATCCTGATCCTACATCCTCCTGCTTTCCCCTCGCCCCGCCACCCTCCACCGAGTGAAGAGAGCTGCCAAGGCTTTCGCCGTGCTGGCCGAAGAGCCGGCATCTTTCGACAGAGGGCCGTGCTGATACCCCTGCTCAAGGCCGATGGCCTGGAACATCCCTGCTTCCCTCATCCTGCTCTCCGTCAACGTCGTAATATGGTCGTCGTCGTCGCCATTGTCTGCAACGCGGTGTCTTTCCGACGCGTGGGGTGCCCTCCGCCCAGGCGCCGTGACTGTGCAATCCCCTTGGGTGCTCATGTGCACCCCCATGTGCCTCCCTTTGGTGTTCATGTATCTCCCTTGGATTGGGAGGTCCGTGTGGGGCATGTCTATGCTGTGCTTTGCTGAGGTCACCTGTGTTGTTCTATGTTGGCATGGGCCGAAATAGGTGAGAATTGCTATCATACACCATGATATGCCGAGCTATTCAGCGGGATGGGCTGTGCAATGGTGCGCGAGGCTATGCTGGTACTTTGGCTGAGCTATGCTGCGCGTGGGATTTACCTTCGTCTGGATGGGCTGAGCTAGGATGGGCTGTGATATCATATGCGAGTTTGTGAAATGAGATGGCGTGTTATGATCCAGTCTGCTTGCAACTGTAATGAGCCCTTCTAGTTATCCTAACAACCTCTTGGAACCAGAACGACCAAACGAGCAAATTATGATCCTCAACTTGGCACCTAGTAACATCGTGATCCGAAGGTCCAGCACCACGTGCGTAAGTCATGTATTGTATTCATAAATTTCGTTGGTCTGCGAGCCGTCCTTCTCGGCTTGACACTCCGAGCCCAGCGAGCCCTCCTGGGGGCCCTCGCTACTTGTCGATCTCTTGGCCAAACTAACCCCGTGGCCCCCCCATGCGCGCGGCAACGCCGTGGCCCCGTTTTTCGACTCCCGTGGTTTCGCTCCCCAAGGCCCCGCGACACCTCCTTTTCCTCGCCTTCCGTCTCGTAGCCCTTTTGGCTCGGCGAAGGCAGCGGCGAGACCGCGACTTGCCGGGGGCAGCCCCGACGAGGGCTGCCAGCTACTCAGGGGGGACGCAGCCGCGCTAATTAGCTGCTAGCTTCCACCAGCGGTGGCGGGCGGAGGGCGGCGCGCAGCGCCCAGTGTCGAGGAGCGCCCGCAGTCGAAGGCGCCTCGCCGTGCGTGCCAGTCCAAGGGGGCTGGTTCGGAAGCAGTGGCGCGCGGGCGCTGCGACGAGCCCTTGGATTCCACAACCTGCGCCCGCGGCGCCGCCGCTGGTCGCAGCAGACGCGTGCTCTGCGGCTGCGATCGGTGCTGCGTGACGTTCGAGCGGCACATCCAGCAGGACATGCCGTGGCAAGACTGCGTCGAGAGGTGCCGCGCAGACCCGTCCTTCAACGAGGACTTCAAGAAGCGCATCGAGGCAGGCCGCCAGCTTGCGGAAGCCCTCTCTTCGGCGCAATCCGAGAACGGCTCGGTTGAGGCCGGCTGGGGTCTCCTTCGGCCAGGAGATCCCCCAGGTGGGCGTCCAGCTCGCGCAGCAGCAGTGGAATGAGAAAATATGCCCACCTGGCATCGCGGGGACCACTCCAGAGTTCGCAAAAAAGGAGGAGACACGGGTGCCGAACAGCACCCGGCCTGGGGTATCCAGCACGGGCGTCGTCGTGCAGCGCCCCGTCAAGCCGTGCACGGAGATTGAGAACCACGCCCGCGCAGAGGTCAAGATGTCGACCATAAAGATTCACGCATCGCAGGTCGCCAAGGCTGGCGGGGACATGGAGGTCTTCAGGAAAGGAGATCGCGAAGGTCAGGTAGAAGCAGGCCACTATCTTCCGCGGCTTCGCGAAGGTTCTCACTTTGAGCCAGTTGAAGGACCAGGCCTGTGAGAAGGTCGGGTCGGGCGAAAGGGGGGGATAGCAAAAGGGGGGTTTGAGAATCAGCTCGCGTAGCTGATTTTCCCGGCGCCTCCCGGCGCCGGAGGCGACCATGTATCGAGGAATGGGCCCCTCGGTGAGGCCGAAACCAGCTGCATGCAGCAAATGTCGTAACCCCCCCTTTCCCAATCCCCCCCTTTCGCCCGACCCGAGAAGGCTCGCGCAGAGGGGCGCTCAGCCCAGTGGCCCCCCCTCCAGTTGGTGGCTCTCGCTGGCGTGGGCGTGGGCGGCGACCGCTCGGAAGGCGCGGCCGCCGACGCGGGGGCCCTGGCCGAGGCGTCGCGCCGCGCGGCCGCCGGCGTCCAGGCGGTGCCGAACGGGGGGCGCCAGTGCAGCGAGTGTCCCTGCCGGCCCTGCGCCTAATCTTCCCGTGGCCGGGCCGGCATCGGCTCCGCCGATCCGGGGGCGGCCGAGCGGGGTGCTGACTGACGTGGGGTCGCCGCCTGGCCCTGCGCGGTCGGTGGCAGGAGCTCGCGACCGTTCGAGGTCGCCCGCGACGAGCATGCCCAATTCGACTGGTGCCCGGGGCCGCAGGGCCACTCCGAAGGCAGCGGGCTCGGCCGCGAGTCACGATAGGCAGCGCTACGAGGCGTTGAAGCAAGACGCAGTCATCCGCCAGGTCTTGGACGGCCTGCCCAAGGGGGGCAAGGTGCACTCTCCGAAGCGGTTCAAACCTGCGTCCCCGAGCATCGCGATCATGGCCGAGAACTTGTGCAAGAAGGCCGAGGCAGCGTCGACGCTAGTGACTTTCGTTGGCCAATTGGGGCGGTGGCAGATCAGCGCTCGCCTCAAGGATTTAGCACGCGAGGACGTCTTGGACTCGTTCAGCTTCTCGACGGAACTCCTGAGCAAGTACCTGAAAGTGGCCGATGCTGCAGTCGACGCAATAGCGGATGCCCTCCTGCCACGCGACCCCAACGCTGATGCCTCTTGCATGTTCGAGCCCACCCTGGCGAGCATGAAGGGCTACATCGACGCGAATATCATGGTGTCGCGCGAGATCCTGCAGGACTGCGTCGTGCTACCTGCCCTGGCGGACAACTCCAAGGTCGAGCATCTTCGGGACCTTCGGCCGCTCCTTGGTCCAAAGTTTCTCGCGAGTGGGGCCGACCCAGAGCACCAGCGTGAAGGGGTACTACCGCATCGTGAAGGGCGCGGGCCTCCAATTACACCACCTGCCAAATATGGGCTCCCAGTCGTTTTCCGAATGCGGCCCGCAAATGCTCTTGCTAATGGACCTTCTTACTTGGGCCACCGCTGATGCAGAGTGGCACCCGCTAAGTGAGACGCTCGGCAAACGCGGGCCCTGGGCCGAGGCAAAAGCGGCGTTCCGCGGGGCCGCTGCGACGGACATCCAGGCCGCCCCGAGGATTGCGGAGATGATAATGAACATGTATGGCGCGGACCCTGACGAGGATGGCATGACATCAGTAGCCGCGGCAATCGCGTCCATCGGCCAGTGGAGGAAGACGTGTCGTGGGAAGGCGGCCTCGACGATGAATGCAGAAAAGGCGCTCCAGGAGACGATCGCACGCATGACCAAAACGCTCGTGGAGCAGGGCCCCGAGGTCGTGGACACGTCCGTCATGGACACGATGGAGAAGCACATGCATCTGTACTCCGAGATCGCCAGCTTCGCGCTGGGCCAGGGGGGGTGCAAGCTGGGCTCCGCCTGCAACGGCCTCCTGAGGCGACGCAGCGACGTCGAAGGTGAACGGAAGGAACCGGCGCTCATCATCGCAGTCAGGGCCTACAACGAACGACCCGACGACGTGACGCTCTCCCTGCTCAGGACCACCATCGGCAGCCACAAAGCCGTCCGCTGTGAGACCCTGCCAGCGTGCGAGGAGCTCGCCACGGCGGCCTGCCAGCTCGTCAACCAAATTCCGATCCTGATGGTGGCTGATGTTGACGCGGTCTTGAAGAACGGTGACGTGGGTGAATTGTTCAACCAATCGTTCGATCGACACCGCGTTCCCACCTTGCTGAAGGATGCGATCGGCGATGGTCTCAAACTCACTCTGATGAAGCGCGGTGTCCAGCTCAGGATCGACGACGCCGAAAACTACTACCAAGCAGCGAAGCAGCTCGACAACTTCATGACGGTGAGTGGTTCCCAGGACTCACTTGAGACATCGATCAAAGATGCATTCGACCAGTTGGAGTCAGCGTTGATGGTGCTGCCCAGGATGGACTCGCTGGGGCAGGACGAGCTGCTCACGAAGTACGGCGGCGGCACGTTTGATGATTTCTCCCGCAAGGTCGCTGGCTGGGTTCCCACCGCCGAAAAGGGCCATGACGTGTTACAGGACCTTGGCCAGGGATACGGCGTTCGCAGACGCCGACCAGATCGCTGATGCGCTCGAGGCCATCGCGGGCGACATGCAGGACGGCTCTCACTGCTTGGACGGCTACAACGGCAGCGACGACTTCAGCGAGTTCGACTCGCATCTGAGAGCAACCCTATACAAGCAATTCGGCATCGCGAATAGGATCAAAGGCCACCTGAAGACACTCACCGTCAATAATGAATCCTTCCACATGGTCTGCGCAGACTTGAAGGCCGACGCTTCCGAGAAGGCACACGGGGTCAAGCGCTGGGACACGATCAACGCCAAGGCACGCGTCACACTCACGACGGCCTCCCTCGCGCAAGCTGTCAAGGACAAGACGGCGAATTCCAGTCACGTGGTGCAGCAGAACATCGACGCCATGACGGCGAAGGGGGTGTCCGTCGACGACATCCCGAAGGCCCTCTGGATTGAGGTCCAGCGCAAGCTCGCGGCCTAAGGAGCTCGCCGCACTCGCCCGTGCGCCCTGCCCTGAACCAGAGGAGGAGTAGGAAAGATGAAGAGGACCAAGGGGGCGAGGAGGGGGAGGGGTAGTAGGATGGGGGACGGGAGGAGTAAGAAGGGAGAGGGGAAGGAGTGGAGCGAGGAAGGACGAGGAAAGGCACCACGAGCGTAGAGAGCTGGACGCAGAGGCCTCTCCCCAGGAACCCTCCCCTCCGCGCCTCTGTCACCGCCACCGTCGCCATCGCTCGGGCTTCCCGTCCCTCTCCCCCCCCCCCTCCTCCCCCCCTCCTTCCTCCTCCCCCTCCTCCCCCTCCTTCCTCTCGCCCTCTTCCCTCTTCCCCTACTCCCTTCCACCTCCTCCCTTCCTCCTCCTCCTCCTCCTCCTCCTCCTCCTCGCCGTTTTCATGTTATGCTGATGCGCACCGTGCTGTATTGCACGAGTGCCCTAGCCCATGTGCACGTAGCCTTGGGCGCACCCCTGCTGGGGAGCCCCCCCCAAAAACATCAAATGCGATGGCTGATTTGCAGGCCCTTCGGGCCAGAAGAAAACGGTCGATGCCTGTTCTGAAAGCCCCCCGTCGGGGCGATCTCGCACCCAGGCCGGCGCCACCAAAACTGATGGCCGATTCCGACCACTAAACACCATCAACCAGACCAACACCGCATAGACTGGCACAGAAAACCTCAGCTCAATTCTTGTCATCAACAACATCCTCATCGTCGTCATTATCGTCGTCGTCAGCATCATCGCCGGCCCATTTCGGCATACATCTCACACACTTCGTGGCCCAACAGGGAGCTCCACCGAAGGCGCCAGTGGCTGGGTTCACATGGTGACGCGCCCCATGTCGAAACACCCCTCACACGCTTCGTGGTCCCGCAGAGAGCGCCACCGAAGGCGCCAGTGACTGGGTTCACAGGGTGACGCGCCCCATTTCGAAGCACCCCTCGCACGCTTCGTGGCCCCACGGGGAGCCTCAGCGAAGGCGCCAGTGGCTGCGGGCACATGCGGCCCCGCCCCCATTCTGGCACATCGCTCACGCGTTTCGTGGCCCAACAGGGAGCTACACCGAAGGCTTCAGTGGCTGCGCCCGCACGGTGTCGCCTTGCCCATCTCGCTTCGCCCCGCCCAGTTGAGTGTGGCCTTGCGTTCTTAGTCGAAGCGTTCAGGGTTACTGCAAAGTCGTCAGTCTGTTCATGCGCATTGCGGTCCTGCACATAAGCGCCACGCGTCGACATGGGGCTGGGCTCTCCGCCAGGGTATCTGTTTGCTTCTTGATGCTCGCAGCCAGCCTCGAACTTGTTCCTATCCCAAAGATGGACAGGCCCAACGGCGAAGACAACCTCAGGGTTGCGCCCGTGTGAGGGAATCGCCAAGGTTAGCACCAAGATCTCGGGCAATGCCACTCATCAAGGTAATCGGCACGGGGCCGGAATCGAACTGGATCGGCGCGTCAGGATGCACAACAACGCCGTGCGAACACCAGTTGACGGCGCGCACAAGGGGGTGGGGGGGGGGGGCGAGAAGCAGGGGTGCTTCTAAGAAGCCCTCCCCCCTCCCCCCACCCCCCTCTGCGCGTGGCTGACGCATCAGATTCTCGGCAAGTCGCAATCGGATCGTCCCAACCGGGGCCGAGATCGAATCGGATCGGTCGGGCCGGAGTGGGCCCCGCTGGGAGGCGGGTGGCGCCGGCCCCCCCCCCCGAGGGGCGGAACGGCGAGGGCGGCGCGCCCCTCCCCGCAGCCTGGAAGCCCTCGGTGATGTTGCGCCTGAAAGCGCGCGCCCTCCCAAGGGGGTCGCCGGCGACACGAGATCGCGGCATCGAAGCTCGCAGCCCTGAGGCCTCTCTGGGCCCGCGCGAGGCGTCTCGTCGCCACGGCGGGGTCCTCCTCGGAGGGCTGGCCCGAGCGCGTCCCGAATTCTGGTCTGGGGGGGCCGGTGCTGAGGGGGACGAGGTCTCCTGCAGCGTCTTGAGCAGTAGTGTCGGGATGGAGGTGCTTCCCAGATTTCGATATCTGTCGGGGATGGACAGACCCCCCTTTAGTAAAACGTGGTTTAGTGAAAACGACCTGAGGCCCAAACCTGGCGGGCGCGAGCCTGGAAAATAACGGCCACGGCGCCATCTCGAGAACCGAGAACGGACAATTCACTCATCGACGTGTCATTGTTGGGGGTTCTGTCCACCCCCGAATCTGGGGGCCGTTCCAGGGCCCTGGGAACATCAACTACAGTGGAGGCTCGACCACAAGAAACCCTCCACAAGAAGCCCAACCCTGAGACACCAGGGCGTCCACGCACTTCTGGTGTGGGCGCATCAGGCCCTCCATAGCAGAACCATCGAAACCCAAGAAACCAAGGACACCCAGGAGGCCAGCATGGTGTTTCTTGGCATGGGCCTCCACTGTATCACTCGGGAAGAGCAGCTTGCTCCCGGGGACGAGTGGGGACCTGTGCAGGGGGGCCTGGGCCTACAACAAAACCTACATCGGTCGTGTGGGGAGACCCCTCGAAAAATAGGTCAGAGTGAGGGGGCCGAACGGTCATTCACTGTCCCTGGGTGCGTGGCTGAAGTGGGATTCCGCGGTGCGGATTCGTGTTGTTGTTGTTGTTGTTTGTTGTCGTTGTTGTTTGTTGTCGTCGTCCCACCCGCAACCCGCCCCGCGACCCACCCGCGACCCACCCCACGACCCACCCGCGACCCACCCGCGACCCACCCGCGACCCACCCGCGACCCACCCCGCGACCCACCCCGCGACCCACCCCGCGACCCACCCCGCGACTCACCCGCGACCCACCCGCGACCCACCCCATGACCCACCCCACGACCCACCCCGCGACCCACCCGCGACCCACCCGCGACCCACCCGCGACCCACCCCGCGACCCGCCCGCGGCCCACCCCGCGACCCACCCGCGACCCACCCGCGACCCACCCGCGACCCACCCGCACCCGCGACCCACCCCGCGACCCACCCGCGACCCACCTTCGACCCAAACCACGTTCAAGGTACAAACCAACATTTTCGGCGCCTGCGGCGGGCTTTTTTTGCATTCCTTCCAGGTAAAGAGCCCGCGACCCACCCCGCGACCAACTCGCGACCAACCCGCGACCCAAACCACATTCAGAGTACAAACCACATTTTTCGGCGCCTGCGGCGGGCATATTTTGCATTCGTTTTAGGTGGAGAGACCGCGGCCCACCCGCGACCACGTTCAGGGTACAAACCAAATTTTTCGGCGCCTGCGGCGGTCATCTTTTGCATTCGTTCCCGGTGGAGAATCCGCGGCCCAGCCGCGACCCAAACCACGTTCAGTGTACAAACCAAATTTTTCGGCGCCTGCGGCGGGCTGCTTTTGCAGGAGGAGGAGGAGGAGGAAGAGGAGGAGGAGGAGGAGGGGGAGGAGGAAGGAGACGACGACGACGACGACGACGTCTACGACGACGACGACGAAAAGGAGGAGGGGGGAGGATCGGGAGGGGGGGAAGAGGAGAACGATGAGGAGGAACATGACGACAATGGGAGGACGATGATGGAAGGACGAGGGGGGGAGAGGGAGGACGAGGAAGAAGAGGAGGAGGAGAAGGACGAGGTGGAGGAGGAGGACGACGATGACGATGAGGACGAGGACGAGGACGAGGAAGAGGAGGAGGAGGAGGAGGAGGCGGAGGAGGAGGAGGAGAGCGCCATCGACAGGGAAGGTGGGGGCCACGAGGTCCGCCGGCTTGACGACGCCCGCGTCGCCCGCGCCCGCCCCCTCACTCTTATCCGCAATTGCGGGGTGCTACGTATACATTTGAATACTTGTGGCACTGACTACTCTGGGTTTCTCAATAAGCGTGGGGGGGACCCCCCCGACGGGGATGGACCTCGCCTCGTCGTCGCGCCGCGACGGGTGTCGGAGCGCCTTCGGCGCGCGGTGGCTGCCCGCGACGGGGGTCTATCAAGAAACTCGGAGTACACATTTGAATACTTGTGGCGCTGACTAGGCGTCCAGTCCAAAAGCCTCCAGAGAACTCCTGGGATCCCGCGAAGATACTCGGAGAGCTCTGGACAGATCCAGAGTGTTGCGGGTCCTCTGCTGGCTAAAGGCAGAGGGCACCAAGCGCCGTCGTCTCTTCTGCATAGATGGCGAGATGGGGTTCTTCAATCGCTTCGCTCATTCCGCCGGCCCATATTGCGCACCGCGGTCGACTGGCTGAGAGGTCGTCAGCAATGCGGAGCTGCAGGGGGCGGCGGCTTTTTTTCTGAGGTGTTGTGTTCGGCATGTTTGTGTTGAAGCGGCCCCCATGGAACAGCTTCGTGTCCATTCGTGGCGATCCTCTGAGTAGGTGTCGGGGGAATCGTTGTTTCCACGGGGCTTCTAGGTTGTGCCGTCCTGGGGTGTCCCTGGCGCCCTTGTGGGGGGTCGTTGCTCGTGGATGCTCCTGCGGGGGCCATGAAGACAGTGAGACTGTTGCGATAGTCGACGTGAGAGGGAAAAGACGGACAGAGAGAGAGAGAGAGAGTGTGTGTGTGTGTCTGGTAGGAAGGGAGGAAAAGGGGGTGGTCGCAGTGCACAGGGCGACAGTGCAGTGGCGAGGAAAGGAGAGGGAAAGCGGAGCAGGATGAGGAGGATAAGAGAATGGAGGAGGTGGAGGGAGTGTGCAGCTTCACGGCCCTGCAGCGATCTTTGGGGCCTCTTGGGGGTATTTTTTGGGCCTCTTGGAGGCCTCTTGGGGGCCTCTTGGGAGCCTCTTGGGGTTCCCTGGCGGCGTCTTGTGGGCCCCTGCAGCCTCTTGGGGGGCTTTTGGGGACCTCTTGGGTCAGGAGGGGGGGTAGTCGATTGCGCCCCTCCCCTCGGAGGCCACGATCCTCGTGAGGGGTGTCGAAAAATTGCCTGGTCTGGCATCTCTGATCCGAGTGTCCCGGGGGTGTCCTGGGGGTCTCCCGGGGGTCTCTCGGGGTACTTTTCGTCCGGGGACCCCCAGGGGCGGCCCCGTGCGCGCGAACTGGAATATTGTTAACCAGTTACCGGAGATCTTAGCACGCCCTTGGCCCGTTGGGCCGGCGAATTATTGCAACTGATGGGGTGGCTCAGCGCCTCAACAAGTACTGGCAAGCCAACGTATTGCAGACATGCTGATTGCAGTCCACTTCGCAAGCACTCAAGTTGCTAATGTATTTAGAGTAGAGGCATGTTTCTGGAGGCCTCCCCAATGGGACTGGAGCAGATGGGGTCGGCTGGTCGCGCCGCATCGCCGATGCATCGGCAACGGCGGTATGGAGAAGAGCAGACTCCAGATCACGCCGCAACGCCGATACATCGGCGATGCGGCACGATCCTCCGACACCGTCTGCGTCATCTGCGAATGAATCTGGACTCTTACAACTCTTACACAATGACCGTCGACAACCTCTGCGTGCCGCCGCCGCCGCCGTCACGCGCACCCTCTACGTGCCGACGACGCGCATCGACGCGCAAATACTCTGGCTGTCGAACTCTGTCGGCACGTAGGCGTTGCGTTGCCGAGAGTCCAATTCGTCATTGCAAGATTTAACCGTATTCTCCCATGCTAATGGCGTACTGTGGCCCCACTTGGTAGGTCTTGCACAGGAGCAAACGAAAAAGGCAGGCAACACCACCATCACTGCCGGCGTGGGGAGCCGGGTAGGGCCCCCCTGGTGGCGTGACCCCCTCCGTCGCTCGAGACATCTCCGCTCTTCAGCTCGGGGGGGCATCGCGGACCTCGTGGCTGGAGATGACCCCCCTGGAGGAGGAGGAGGAGGACGAGGAGGAGGAGGAGGAGGAGGAGGCGGAGGAGGAGGAGGAGGAGGGAGGAGGAGATAGGAGGGGGAGGAGGAGGAGGAGGCGGAGGCGGAGGGAGAGGAGGAGGAGGAGGAGGAGGAGGAGGAGGAGGAGGAGGAGGCCGTGGTGTCGCTTCTCTTCCCCTCTGAAAGCCGCGGGACACGCTGGCGCCCCGCGCGCGGGTGCGCCCGCGCAGTAGGCCCGCCTGGAGCAGCCAGGGCAGCCCTTGAGGCGCGGCTCCAGCGCGAAGTAGGCCCGCCCGGCCTCCCAGGCCGAGGGGGGGGTCAAGGTCAGCCACGCGCAGAGGGGGGTGGGGGGAGGGGGGAGGGCTTCTTAGACGCCCCCCTGCTTCTTAGAAGGTGCGGGGCTTACTTATAAATGTAAGGCCGGCGCCTTCTAAGAAGCAGCCTCCTTCTAAGAAGCCCCCCCCCTCCCTTAACCCCCCTGTGCGCGCCGCCAACAAGGGTTTTGGTACACATGCATGTTTGTTTGTGTGTGTGTGTGTGTGTGTGTGCGTGCGTCTGTGGCACGACGAATCGGCCCGGCGCAGTCCACGACCTGCAACGCCAGGCGGAATTGACGCCAAGCGCGCCCCGCTTGAGCTCTCGCTCCAGACACACCGCTCGGCCGCTGGAAGACAAAGTGTGTATTTGCGTTGCTGTGCGTGTGGCTTCTCAGTCCGTTGGCTTCGCTTCTGCCACTCGCAGCAGGACACCCACCGCTTGTCGGCTTCGTGCCACCACTTCCGCTGCTCGCAGCACACCGCCACGGCCTCGCTGGCCACACCCACGGCGGAGGTCCGCTGCTCTGCAGCAAGCCTCCCGGACTGAGCGGCGGCGGGGCAACTCTACGGGCTCCTGCACGCCCTGCATGCGCTGCCTTCGCCTGCCTCCCTCTGAATTGGGTGTTTCCCCTGCACGCCCGCCGGGCCACCGCAGCCACTCATCCGCAACGCCTGGCGACATGTGGCATAGTCGTTAGTGGCCCTATCTCTTTTTCGCTGTGGTGATGTCGGTCGGCCAGTGGAAGACAAAGTGTAGGCGTGTGTGCATGTCCTACACTCCACCGAGCCGAAGGCCGCGCCGACGCGTTCAACAGAGGGTACTCCAGACTTCGTAATAAAAGGGAGGGGGTCTGGACCCTCCAAGACAAGCCATTTCAGACCCTCCCCGTGGGAGAACCCCCCAAAACATCGTCCCCAGACCCCCCCAGGCCCTCCAAGATAGCCTGGAAGAGACCCCCTCCGAAATGAGACCCCCCTCCCTTTATTACGAAATCTGGAGTACAGGAATTGCATGGACAGCCCGATCTTCCGAACAGAAGAGGAGGGCGATGGCGCAGCCCGCGCTCGCAAACACAGAATCTGCGGTGTGTTGCCGCTTCACGCCTGGCCTGCGCGTTTAGCCTACTCTCATCCGCCGCCCCTCCGACTGGAACTGCTGTGTTGCGGAGCGCGCAGTTGCCTAGGAAAAAGTGTGTGTGCGTGTGCGTGTGTGTGTGTCTGTGTGTGTGTGTGTCTGTGCGTGTGTTGGTTCGCATTCGGCATATAGTAGTGTGCGAGTACGTCATCTTGCACCACGCGGGCGGGGGGGGAGGAGGGGAAGCGGGGCAGGAGGAGGCAAAGCAGGAGGCGGGAGGAACGGTTGGAGGATCAACGGGGGGAAAGGCGGGGGGGGGGCTGGAGGATCCCGGTGATGCGACGGGGAAGACGAGAAGGACCAGGGGGAGGCAAGCAAAACGAGGCGAGCCCTGGCCCTAAGAGGATCCGCGCTATCTCAGATGCGACTCTTGGGCGAGTGGCCAGGGAGCTTGATAATATCAAGGCTCGAACAGAAAGAGAGCGTCACATCTCTCGGCAGGAGCAGCCACCATCGAGCCGCGACACCGGGCCAGATCGGGACATGCATCGAACTGGGGCACATCGGGACGGAGTCGGGAACGAACCGAATCGGCGATGCCCAAATGCGCAACAACGACATGTACGCATCAAGCCGCACAGGACCGTGGGGGTATCGGAATCGAATCGGATCGAGCCTGCCGAAGTAGGTACAGAACCGGATCGAGCGGATCGCAGTGGGACATGTCTGTTTCATCACATCGCCAACTGGAAGAAAAAAGGTTGCACCCACCAGGACAGTGAACGAGCTGGCCGCTTCACAATGAATATCGGTCCTGTTGCGCATGCGGATGAAGGTGGTCACCGTGGCGGTACTGGCATTTCCCGTGTACAAGTCCTAGATGCCATCTCGAAGAGCTGCCATATGCAGCTTGAGCCATAATGGCAACGGAACGCAAAGCAATGTTCTTAGAACGCTGCAATCCACAGCAGGTTGTTGTCGAGTCTTCTCTGGTTGGCCTATAGGCGGGTCCAGACAATTCGCCGTTGCTTCACACACTTCTTTGGTCAGCGGCGAGGCGGCGAACTCCGCTCAAGCGAGAAGCTAGATAGGGGCACTAACTAGCGAATTTCGGGGGCGCGCAAACATGGATTAGCTATCTATGGATTTGGCGCGCGGTCGCCAAGCCCATGGATCGGGGGAAGCGCCCTCCCCAAAATGCGGCCGGTGCCACCTCGCTCGGCGGCTGAAATCCGCGATTCCCTATGGAAATGGAACCCGTCGCTAATCCACGCCCCCTTGATCCATGTTTGCGATCGCCTGATTGTAGGGACCTGTGGAGAAGGAACTTGGAGGGAAGGTTTGTTGCAACATCGTTGATGCGTCTTGGGTTTACACTGGTCCTCCTCCTCCTCCTCCTCCTCCTCCTCCCTCCTGTTTGCGATCGCCTGAGAATTGGCCGGCGAGACTGCTTGACACGCACGACCAGCCCCACCCCCGACGCCTCGTACGCCGCAGCGGCGCCCTCGGCGTCGGCGCCCTCGAGCACCAGGGTCGCCACGCCGAGCTGCTGGGCGGCCTCGCAGGCGGCACGGCAGGACAACTGCAGAACACTGGCCTCCAGCGCGCATGCCTCCTCTTTCTCCTCCTCCTCCTCCTCCTCCTCCTCCTCCTCCTCCTCCTGCGACGTCACAATGGAGACATTCGGGCTCCGCATCGAGCCGCAGCGCCGATGCATCGGTGATGCGGCGCGGTGCACCGATCCCCTCTGCTCCGACCCCACGTGGGCGGCCAGCCCCGTACACTTGTGGCAGCCCGTGGGCCTTCGTAAAAGGACATGCTAGTACTGCGTGTCCTCCGTTCAACTACACGCAAGAGTGACCCTGGGTAAGAGTGACCTTTGGTGCGCGGTTCATTGGGGGCCGCGGGGGGACCAAACACGAGCGCGCAAGACGCTAATACCACATCGTGTTCGGCGATCGGTTGGCCCCCTTGGGCCCGCACCAAAGGTCACTCCGGCGAAAAGTCACTCTTACGTGTTGTCGATCCGTGGAGGCGTGAGTCCGAACCGAACATATGCAGTACAGCCATCTTGTAGTAGATCGACTCCCGAGCGGTATGGCTAGAAGGCGCCTGCCACGGAGCTTATACCACAAGATTTCTCGGCGCGCGCGTCGCCACGGGGGGGCGACGCACTCATAGTAGTCACTAGTATGCTGGGGTGACGCCGAGACAAGGTCGGCGGCGAGCGGAAAGGGAAGTGAGAAGGAGAAGGCGTTCTCGGAAGGCGGCGGGGCCTCTCAGAAGCCCTCCGGCCTTCCGAGAGGCTTTCTGCGCCTTCAGGGAAGGCTCAGAGCACTCCTCAGAATGCCGGGGGCCCTCTCTTAGACGGCCCGCCCCTTCTCGCTTCCCCCCCCCCCGGCGCGCCGCCGAGAGATCAGGGCCACCAGCCCCGTTCACTTGTGGCAGCCCGTGGGCCAGGCGTGGCTTGCTGCCTTGCCGCCTCGCTCGAGTCGCTTCGCGCTTGGGAGGAGGGAGGAGGGAGGAGGGAGGAGGGGGGAGGGGGGAGGGGGGAGGGGGGGGGGGAGGGAGGAGGGAGGAGGGAGGAGGGTCCTCCGGACCTCTCGCCAGGCGCGGCCCAAGCGGGCGGGCGAGAGGCCGGGCGCATACGAGCTCTCCTGGGCGGCCCGCGGGATGCCGGAGGCGATCCTTGCAAATGGCACGGCACCCGCGCTCCCAGGGCCACGATAAAGGGGAAATGCCCGTGCCTAGGCACTCCCAGGGCCACGCTCCCGTCCCCCCCCCCCCTCCGCAACGCGGGAACGAATTCATTTGTGCGGCGTGCTGACGTGACGTCTCACGAGGGGGTATTTCAGCAGGCAATCGCCGCCTCCAAAACGGATCAACTCGTCTGTGCCATGGTCCGTGACCGTGCCGCTGGCCACAGAGTTTGCCTTTCAATCCTCTGAGCCGCATTCCGACGACGACGACGAGGACGACGACGAGGACGACGACGACGAGGACGAGGACGACGACGAGGACGACGACGAGGACGAGGACGACGAGGACGACGAGGACGACGAGGACGACGAGGACCTCAAATCTCCCGGGGCTCCCCGCGTGCCCCCCATGGGGCCCGGGGCGTGCCCCCTGGGCTCCACCCCGCACCTCGTCGCGCGACTTCTTGGGCCAGGATGGGGCCCCCAAGACGGGCCGAGGGAGCCTCGAGAGGCCCCCCCAAGATCGGGGATGGACAGACCTCCCTTTTAGTAGAACGTGGTTTGGTGAAAACGACCCGAGGCCCAAACCTGGCGGGCGCAAGCCTGGAGAATAGCGGCCACGGCGCCATCTCGAGGACCGAAAACGGACAATTCACTAATCGACGTGTCACTGTTGGGGGTTCTGTCCACCCCCGACAAGACGGTCCAAGACGGTCCAAGAGGGTCCCGAGTCGACGAACGATCGCTCCAAGACGCTCAAAATGGTCTCCGGACGGCCCAAGAGGCCTCCAAGGCGTCCTCAGAGGCCTCCAAGAGGTCTCTCAAGAGAGCCCCAAGAGGCCAAAATCGTTGATTCCCCTTTTGCGCTTGACATTTTCTGCGTTCTCGCAGTTTCGGCTTCCCCACGCTCCCAGACGGCCCTGGATACCCCCAAGACCCCAAGACAGCCCAGTAGTCCTCCAAGAGGGCCCCAAAACAGTCCAGGAGGGCTCCAAGACGGCCCAAAAGGTGCCCAAAACGGCCCAAGAGGGCCCCAAGGTTGGGGCCCAAGAGAAGGAACACGAACCGAAAATCTGAACCTTGTGCCCCAAGAAGCCGCAGGAGGCTCCAAGAGGCGCCCGGGAGGCCCAAAGAGGTCCCCAAGAAGCTTCCAAGAGGCTCCCAAGAGGTGCAAAAGAGGCCCCAGGAGGCCCCGAAACGGCCCCCAAGAAGCCTTCAAACTGCCTCCGAAGAGGCTCCCGGGAGGCCTCCCACGAGACCCCAACGAACATCCAATAGGCCTCATACCCACAACCCAGGCACGGTGGCGGGATGTGCTGCAGGACATTAGACCTGCTTGGCACGGGGACGGAAAACGCACTTACTTTCAGAGCGCACGGGATCGCTGGCTCGTCCGCTCTTACACCTCTTATTGACTCCCTTCCCCTCGCTCTTGTCCTATCTCAGCCTCGGAGAGTCGCGGAGCTTTCTTTGAGCGCGTTTCTTGTTTTGGAGGGGGCGGTCGGGTCGCGTTGCGTTTTCCGCGTTTGGGCTGCCAGCTTTCCAGAACCCCGCGTTTTCCTTGCGTGGACCGCTCGTTGTCCACGCGTTGCCGCCCGTCCCTGTGCCCTGGCGTCAAGAACTTATTACGCCGCAGCTCTCTGTTGGGAGCTTTGGTCTTATCAGTTCGATTACGTCACCGCTCGCTCTTAGGAGCCGCGGTGCTAAGAGCCTTTGGGAGTATTTTGGGCCTCTTGGGATGCTCTTGGGGAGCCTCTTCGGTGCCTCTTGGGGCTTTTCGGGGGCCTCTGGGGGCCTCCTGGGAGCTTCTGGGCTGCGGGGGTGAAGGGACCAAGCTGCCTTTGGCCGTCTTTGGGCTCTCTTGGGGCCTCTTGGGGCCTTCTTGGGGCCGTCCTGGGGCCGTCTTGGGCCGTCTTGGCGCCTCTTGGGCCGTCTTGGCGCCCTCTTGGGCCGTTTTGGGGCCTTCTTGGGGGCCTCTTGGGCTTTCTTGGGGCGCTCTTGGGGGCCTCTTGGAAAATCTTGGACGCCTCTTGGCCCGTCTTGGCGCCCTCTTGGGCTATTTTGGGGGCCTCTTGGGAACATCTTGGGCCGTCTTGGGGCGGTCTTGGGGGCCTCTTGGACCGTCTTCAGCGCCATGAAAGGCGAAAAGCCGTATATGCTAGAAATGTACGTTTTCCTTTTTAGAAAATCAATGATTTTGGCCTCGTGGGGCCCTCTTGGGAGGCCTCGTGGGCGCCTCCTGGGGCGTCGTGGAGGCCTCTTGGGACGTCTTGGGGCCGCCTTGGGCGGTCTTGGGCTCTCTTGGAGCGCTCTTGGGCCGTCTTGGGCGCTTCTTGGGCCGTCTTGGGCCGTCTTGGGCGCCGTCTTGGCCGCTTCTTGGGCTGTCTTAGGCGCCTAAGACGGCCCAAGAAGCGCCCAAGAAGCGTTCTCCGATGATGTCTCGAGCGAAACGCTGTTTTTAAGCCCCGAAGGCCGTCCGACTCGATAAAGAACGAGGCGGGAGGGCAATTAGATCCGGGCCCCGCGATGCCAACCCCCTCGAACTCCCCCAAGTCCAATTTCTTCTGACTAACGGACCGCACGCTAACGCACGCTTTCCGTCATCCGCCGCCCCCAGATGATCACAGGGGTGCCTGGCGTGCTGAACCTCTTACGATTTTGGTTTTGGTTCTTTTCCAAAAGAACTCTCCCAGTGGGCTCCGGCGCGTCCCGCCGGGGTCCCCGGAGGATGCCGAAAGATCTTCCAGAGGTGGTTCCAAAGGGTTATTCCGTTCCAGACGGCTCCAAGATGGCCACCAAGACGCCTCCAAGAGGGCCAAAATGGCCTCCAAGACGGCTGAGATGGCCCCAAGATGCCTCCAAAACGGCCCAAGATGCACCCAAGACGGCCTAAGATGGCCTCAAGATGGCCCAAAACGGCCCAAGAGGCTCCCAAGAGGCCTCCAAGACGGCCCAAGAGGCCTCCAAGAGGTCCTCCAGGAAGGCCCGAAGAGGCCAAAATCATTGCTTTCCATAGGTTTTGAAGGATTTTGGTATTTGCGCCTTTTCGGCTTTCCGACGCCCCAAGACGGCCCAAGAGGCCCCCAAGATCGCCCCAAGATCGCCCAAGAGGCCTCCAAGATGGCCCCAAGACGGCCCAAGAGGCCCCCAAGACGGCCCCAAGAGGGCCCCAAGACGGGCCACGAGGCCTCCAAGACGCCCAAGATGGCCTCTAAGACGGCCCCGAAGCGCCCCAAGAGGGCCCCAAGTCGGCCCAGAGAGGCCCCCAAGGCGGCTCAGACGGCGTCAGACGTGCCAGGAGCCCACCAAGACGGCCGAAGATGGCCTTAAGATGGCCCAAGAGGCCTCCAGGAAGGCCCGAAAAGGCCACAATCATTGATTCCCTTTGAGTTTTTGAAGGATTGTGGCATTTGCTTTTTTGTCGGCCTTCCGACGGCCCGAGACGGCCCAAGTGCCCCCAAAGATCGCCCAAAACGGCCCCAAGAGGCCCCCAAGACGGCCCAAGAGGCCTCCAAAAGCCCAAGATGGCCCCCAAGACGGCCCAAGAGCCCTCCAAGACGTCCTCCAAGAAGGCCCGAAAGGGTCAAAATGGCCTCCAAACAGCCAAGATGACCTTCAAGATGCCCACGTGTTCCCCGAAGGCTTTCCAAACCGATTCGGGGAACACATGGTCCGATAGCTTGGCAGGTCTGGCCTCAACGTTCGGCCACGTAGGCGCTTCCAGAAAGGCAGGGGGCGGCGGTGATTCGCCGTAGGCGTCTTCGATCCGCCGCCCCCTGTCGATTCATCGCAGGGGTGCCTGGCGTGCCGAACTATACGGCTTTTGGTTTTGGTTCTTTTTCCAAACGAACTCCCTATGAGGCTCCGGCGCGTCCCGCTGGCCACCCGGAAGACCCGGTTGCAAACGGTTTTCCTGCCCCAGACGGTCCCAAGATGGTTTCCAAGACGGCTAGGATGGCCCTAATGTGCCTCCAAGACGGCCCAAGATGCACCCAAGACGGCATAAGATAGCCTGAAGTTTACCCAAGACGGCCTAAGAGGCCTCCAAGAGGCCTCCAAGAGGTCCTCCAGGAAGGCCCTCCTCCTCCTCCTCCTCCTCTCCACCTCCTCCTCTTTTTTCCTCATCCTCCCCCTCCTCCTCTTCTTGCTCCCCCATGCGTTCCCCGAAGTTTTTCCAAACCGACTCGGGGAACAACTGGCCCGATAGCTTGGCCAAGCTCTGGCCCAAGCTGTCGGCCACGGAGGCGCTTCCAAAGGGGCAGGGGGCGGCGGTGATTCGCCGTAGGCGTCTTCGATAACACCAGAGGGGTTCTTAACTGCTTCTTACAACTACTGTCGAACATACCTATAGAATACTGGAAGCCCGCCCTCCCAAATGGGCCAAAAAAGAAATCAAGATCGCAGGGATACGATCCCGTCTGAATCAAGCTGGATATGGGCTGCCAAGGCCAACATCCCTCTTAAGCTACCCTGGATTCGCGCTCCCGACGCCAAGATCCAATGGAACTCACATTGTATCCGCGCTCCCGGGGTCACGACCGTTGTACATTACGTTGCTGTCCTCAATCTCGTGGCCACGATCCCTCGTGTATTACACTGGATCCGCGCTCCCAGGTCCACAGTATCAGGTAAGTTACGAAGAATCTGCGCTCCTAGGGCAATTTGGATGCGCGATCCCAGGGCCACGATCCCTAGTAAACTACCCAGGATCCTCGCTCGCAAGGCCACAACCTCCATCATTTACTCTGTGCCCGCGCTCCCAGCACCAGGACCGTGTCTACATGACTCTGGATCCGCGCTCTCAGGGCAACCATCTCGAGTAACTTCCGCTGGGTCCGAGGCTCCGCGGCCGTGGTCCCAATGAATTTGCGTTGGATCCGCGCTCCCGGGGCCAGGTCCCTCGTTCAAATCGGGAGCGGCCAAGAGGGGGGTGTCCAAGAGGGGGGGGTGCAAATCATGACGGGCGGCATGTGCGCGGCCCAGCGGGGAGGCCAGGTACGCAATGCAACAAGAAGTGGCGGCATGAAATCTTGAGAAATATCATGGCCCCCGCCATGATATCCACCCCCCCCTAGTCATCACCCCCCTCTTTTCCGCCCCCGAAATCCCAATGAATTTGCGTTGCTCCAGGACTCGCGGAGCAGCGCCTTGATTTTTGCGCCAGAGGAGGAGGAGGAGGAGGAGGAGGAGGAGGAGGAGGAGGAGGAGGAGGAGGAGGAGGAGGAGGAGGAAGACCCCCTCCCCCTCCAACCTGTGGAGGAGGAGGAGGGGGAGGAGGAGGAGGAGGACGAGGAGGACGAAGTGGAGGAGGAGGAGGAGGAGGGGGAGGAGGAGAAGGAGGGGGCCCCAGGGGGGGGGGGGGTGCAATTGCAGTGAGCTGGCCGGACGTTGCCGCGAAAGGGACCACAGGG